TTTTGGTGTTTTGAGTAATGCCCCGGAGCATATAGTACAGGAATTCCCTTGTTTGACTCTAGATAATTGATGTGGATTAAACAAAATACTTACAATTTAATCCTCTTTTAATGTACACTAGAACAAAATAAATATAAACTATAGATAAAATATAGGAACCTATTGGTAGCTAGGAATCTCTTACAAATATTTTGGGGTGACAGAATATATTTTAAAATAAGGAGAGGTGTAATAAATATACATATAAACTGAATACTAATATTTAACAATATTTATTTGAAAATATAATAAAGAATGTAACACATCATCTAATCGGCAATCTCATTGTGTAGAACCTATCGATGTATATAAATGTACAATGTAACAAAAACAATAATAATTTAGCTTTAAACGACGTCGTCTGTAATTACATCAGTTACGTACATAAAAAGGTAAACATTAAAAGTTAAACATCGCGGTAAAAGTTATTTACTAGTAAGTAGTAATTTACTCCTTGTGAAATAGTTCGTTCTGGGAAGTACTGACACCTTAACAATTTTTGCAGTCAAGCGGTAATGTGAGCATTACTGCGTTCCAGTTTTGAAGGGCAAGGGTGCTTGTGAAATTACAGGCACGTGGGATTTGTTAACTGCCTCCGAGTGACAGACGCAGTGGCAGTGTCTCTCGGTCCTTTGCGATTTAAAGCTCTGAGTGACACTGCAACTGCTATGTATAAACTGCCTCCGTGGCCGACTGCCACGCAGAGGTCCTGGGTTGGATTCCCAGGCCGGGAGAAGTATGTGTAATGCCTACATTTATTTCTCTCGCGAGTTTGGGTGTCATTTGTGGTTGTCTATGTGTGTCCATGGCACCCGCGATACAGGGTTTCCCTAGTGCGGGGCTATGAGGGTGTTGCGTTATTATTACTATTATTATTATTATTATTATTATTATTATTATTATTATTATTATTATTATTATTATTATTATTATTATTATTATTATTATTATGTATCGACGTATCGCGTAACATAAAAAATGTACATAAATAAAAAAAATTAAATGGGACTTTCGTAGTGTAAGGTAGTGTAATCTCTACTTGTAACCGTTCGGCCACAGAGGCAGTTAAATTTCGTTGGGTATTTTATTATAAATGTTTATTACCATGAAATATGCTACTACTGTTACTAGCCTCTAAAAGTATCAATTATACTCCTTTTTGAAATTTAAACACTTTGAAATTAGTAGCCATGTTAAAAGTTGAATATTCACCTCAACAATTTTCTGAAAGCCTTTTATTATTTTTTGCTTGCCGGTGACAGATCAATAGTTCTTTTCATAACTTCTCCAAAGGGATTTAATACTTAATTAAACCTGAATTTAAGGGAATTGTTCGTAACGAGCGAAGTTTTCGCCACAACGAATGTAATTAATCGAAAATTCCTTTTTAACTTTGTGATGAAGTATACTTTCACGAAAATGCAATTAGGAATGACAGTAGAGCATTTAAAGTCAATTGATTATCGAAAAATAAAGTAAACTCAAATGTTTGATTGTTCTTAATTAAGGTTTGTATAATATTCTTGTGAATGGCTTTAAAAATTGCTCAATTAAAACGCGTAAATGTAAATCGAGCAAATAACATTTTCACGGGAAGTTTAAGCCTACGCCACTAAGAAACATATCAAAGTGCAAACTCAAATATCGGTTAGGAAGTTAACCACGAATTCGGCTACTGTAATTTACTTAATCCAAGTTATTCACTTCCTTTATTAAGCAGAGTCGAGATTAACACTGAGAGCTTAACGTAAGACGTGTTCCTCGTCCCGCACTCTGCAACCTCCCCTGCGGGGCGCCTGTTCCGTGCCCCGCGCGTGACGCCGACAGATAAGCTAATTACTTATTGTGACTTACCAACCGGTTGTCGGAAATTTTTCGCCAAATTTTCATTCTCCCAATTGTTAATAATGAGCGGGCACTTAGACGACGTCCACCACAATAGCTGAAATTAACCAGACAATTTAACTTTTTAATTGCGAATTAAGAAACTGGGAAGTGAAAAGGTCCGCGCAATTAATTGTAAAGAAAGGTTTTTGTTGCCGACCGTTGGCGTTTTAAGTGCACAGTATAATTTATGTTTTATGTATTTTACCGAATACACCTAGGTATACTTACATGGTGATATTTTTTTTTAATATCAAGTGACGGGACGAACTGGTCGTGCGCCTGATGGTAAGCTACACGCCTGTCCGTAACAGTTGCAGCGCCACTCAGAAAGATCTGAGGGGCACTGCCACTGCGCCCGTTACTCTAAGACAAAATTTTATGAGACAATTGCGATTGTCCATATGTCGTGGTTTTAAGATCACAAATTCGTAAAGTTTTTGTACAGTTCTACAAACATTACTGTCTAGCTTAGTGCTCTACATTTAATCTCGGTTGCTTTCTTTTCTATGTCAGTCGAAGCTACGTGTTTCGAAGAGAACAGAGGAAGTTTTGTAAAGTTCAAGCCATAGATATGGAAACTTGAAGCTTCCGATAGACTTGAACATAAACTGTGCTGATTCAGTCTGTAGAAGAAAACCTGACTATTGGCTATATTCATATGTGTTAATATACTACCTATTGTCAAAAACTGTTACCTACATTGTAGACGAGGGTACATTTGCGCTAATCGGAATTTAGGAATGAGCATAGACAATGTAAACATGACAATAGAAATGGAAGTGGTGTGCGGAGTGCGGCGGCTGGAACTCGTATCGGCGGCGTGGCACTCGCGAGATAACCGCCGTCTTTGTGCGCCAATGTAAAATTATTAAGCAGGAATGCCATGGATGGGTTTTACTCCGGCAAACGAGGGTTCATTCCGAATTGGCTGAGCAATGGAATGTTGATTCTATATGAAATTATTTTGTTCATAAATCTACTTCGGTAGTCGTCTATGTAATGTAAATTCGTTACAACAGATAAATACTTATAATAGTGCTGTTTCGGTTCGATGGTAGGTATATACTAAAATATTTGAAATAAATGAAAACGAAAAGGAAGATGGAGTTTTTTCTATAAGAGTTTCAGGAAATTTTTCGAGCATGGTTCAAGCGCGATTAATTTGTTAGAAACTTTGTTGAAGTGTTTGCGAATGAGAAGCTGCCATGAATTGACACTGAACATTGAACTACCTTGAGTCATCCGACGCCAACTTTATGAAAAGGCTCACGCATATTGAACACGGCTTTAAAGGAGAGAATTTTAGGTGAATAAAGTAACCACAAAGTAAACACCATTCAATTTTATTACGGCGAGCAGACTGCTTTTGAAAATCCCCCGACGGCAATCCCGTAAATCTCCATTTGTCGCAACTAAAACAGGTCACGGCGGAAGGCTATTACGCTCCCTAAATGCTGCCGAACTCCCTGTAGAGCGCTCTAATCCACTTCGAACGGGCTGGTGTCAAACGCAGGCCAGGGTTGTTTGTATTGTTTATTGTCGCGCTCGTTCGTTCGGCAAAGAAGCCGCCGCCCGCGCCGTCGCCGCCACAAGAGGATGTTTCAATTGATAGAGCCGAACGGTCCCCCGAGTGAACTATTATATTCCTGTCCATGAACGGTAGATGCTTATCCCCACTTAATGTCCTTTACCTTACTTTGAAATTTACCGACTCGCTATCCTGTGAATTGTAATGCTGGAACATTCGAACGAAATAGCTAGTTGAGTAGATAAACATATGATTGAAAAATAAGTGTCCGTATTGGAAAATGAGAGAGGAGTGGAGCGCGTTATTGGAAAGGAGCGCTTACTCAGCTGGGTGGTTTTTACCCGGGTTCGACGTTCGGGTGTGGATGAACAAAAACCGCCGAAGAGCCAGTAGAATGGAACAAAACACTTGAAACAATATCGCGACAGAGCGGCAATCATTCCTGTTTTATCTCAGTTTGCTCACGCTGCGCCGCGGAAACTGGTGTAATAAAAAAACTACCATGTGTTTGTATATGTGTACGTTGCAGATATACGTGAAAGTGATACATGGTTCATACACATTTAGGGGTCTGCATGAATTATCATTGCCGCTACTATTATAATCTATTGTGAGCTATTACATTCTTGGCATAGTTTTTATTGCAATGTGTTTCAATTACCTAGTGAAATAAAACCAGTATCATTTGGCTAAAAGCATTTTTTTAAATATTTTCTGAACTCAGTTTAAAATATTACATAGGAGTAGTATAAAAAGCGACGATACATTACATTCTATGATCATTTCATAAAACCAATCGTGATAAAATGCTGAATGGGTGCGTAGCCCTTTTTGTATTTCACGGGCCGCAGGCCTATTAAATCTTTTGTCAATTTATATGTTGATTCATTTCAAAGAGACTAAACTAAACCTGCTATATTATTTTATTATAACGTCATTTGTCTTTTTAAGTATATACATATTAATCTTTAATCTAAATTGGCTATATCATTGGATATAGCCAATTAAGATGTCTATCCATATAGGTAGGCATCTATCCTCAAATAAATAGTTTTGCGAAAAGTCAATTACTTCAAAATCAGTAAATGTTAGATGAATAAAATCAAGTATTAATGTAATGTAAAAGATTAAACTAGTTACATCCATAGGAATTGTTCATGGCAAACTAATAATTTTTAAATTAGGAGGCCCTTTCAAAAAGTGGGGCACCTATCCCGGTTTTACCTACTGCTATCTTATCTATTTCTGCCGCCAAGCAGTAATGTGAGTATTACTGCGTTCCGGTTTTGAAAGGTATGTGAAGGGCATGTGCCTGTAGCACATTAGACTTTTCAACTTATGTGTCGGGATGACGGGCGTAGTGGCAGCGTCCCGCAGATTTTTACGATTTAAAGCTGTGGCAGTGCAACTATTATGGACAGGCGTAACCCTTACCACTAAGCGCACGACTTCCCGTCCCGTCACTTGGTATTATAAAAAACAATTCCAAATAACCACCTCAAACACTGCGTTTCTGATAGTATTTAACAATACTCTTTTGTTTCAGAGTGGTTAAAATGACTATAAAATAAGCTAAACGACAATAAATAATTAAGTAAGAAGAATTATTTACACACTAGTGCTAAGCACGGAATATTGGGATGTATTTGAGACAATAAGACATACGCTGTATGATATGACAATAAGAAGCGAGCGAACGAGATTTGATATCAAATGTGTCCTGACGTGAAGACGGCGGAGTCATCGCGGCGCTCTAGGCCCGTTGCCATGGAAACCGGGGGACTTCCATTGGTTTCGACCTTCGCTCTCCTCACCATAGTCGCCGGTAAGCCAAGCTTGTATAATGTAAACGAAACTTATGTTTAATTCGTATGCTTAACTTTAGTGTCTTTAATTGCATTTCAAAACTAGAGTGTAATTTATTGAATAACGATTTTCCATCACTCATTATCAACTTATTTATACGTCCCACTGCTGGGTACTGGTCTTTTGTCAGGCGAGGGCTTGGGCCATAGTCCGCCACGTTGGCCCAATGCGGGTTGGGGACTTCACACGTTTTCTGAGGGTTGTGAACCTTCTTCGATGTGCAAGGTCTCAACACGATTTTTCTTCACCGAAAAGCTCATGGTAAATTTCAAATTAAATTTAGCATATAAATTCCTAGAAACTTAGAAGTGCGAGCCCGGATTCGGACCCACGGCCTCTGCTTGACAAGCGGTATGTCAAACCGTTAAGCTACCACGCGTTTTCCATCACAACACAAAGAATAAATGCCATTCACTTTACAACAGCTTTTCCAAATTTCAGTACCAGGCCATTTGTTTATGAAACTGTTGAGAAAACTTATTCACAAATACAGGAGGTCGTACAGAATTACTCGTAGAATTTATAAAATTTCACATACGATATGTAAATTTGTGCACAGAAAATATATTTTTTTTGCTTACGTTTGATGAGTTTCAGCCAATAGTAATAAAAAACAAGCCCAGGAATATTATTTCACAGAAAACTTCGGCTGCATTTGAATATAAAACCGACGGTTCAATGAAAAGCTCTTTTGCAAAATTTACTTTGGCCTAGCTTGTAATTCAGCCTCGTGTACCAAACTAACCGTAATTCGTACCGCTAATGACTGAACTGGTGAAAGGCTTAATATCTTGTCAGCTGGCTCTTTGCTTTTGGAGGATTAATTTTCTCTTACTGTTTGTAATAAAGTAACACGGGTCCTATTTAAAGCATCAAAAATATCCAACAAATATTACCACAGGATAAAAATACATTGTCGGTATAAATTTTGTCGCTTCTGGGAAAAATATAAATAAAATATTCAAAGTATAAAATTGCCGCTCTAATGTTCAGGCCACTTTGAAATAAAGAGTCTTTTTTGTGTATTTCGATAATAAACTTTTTTCTAATAAAATGTTAAGGATTCTAAATTCAAAATTATGTTGTTATTAATTATTTCTATTCATTTTGGTTAACTTTGCATTCGGTGTGAAATCCAACAAGGATTACTAAATTCGTTGTACAATGGTGCTTACAACTCGTAAATGACCTTCGTGGAAGGTTGAAGGCAATCCAACGCAAACAATTATTATATTAAATATTTTTAAAATTTAGATAAATTAAAAAATATTACTACGAACCACAACGGGTAATGCACGTAAATGTAGTTATTATCTTACCGCAAATGATGAACCGCAGTTGTTGAAGTCTGGTGACAAGTCTGCAATATCCAAATAAGAATCTTGCCCAAGGAATACTTTTGGTAACTGTTTGGTGGTCTAGTCATGAAGCAATCCGACTTATGTGAAAAACGTCAGCGACGATGACAAGATGGACAACCAATGTCCACTGCTACTTGTAAATCTCCACGTTAAGTGTGGCTGTTTGAATCAATCAAATCAATCTAACAAACTTTCGATTTTTTCTGCAATTTAGATTATTATCTTCAAGGAAAACGATTTAGTTTCTTGAAGCACTCGAAAATGAGATTCAAGATTTTGGGGATTCCCTTTCCTCATTACTCTACCGCAAAGGAATTAATGAGTTTCCAGCATGATTGCAGAAGGGTAGTGATAGCATTGCTTTGCAGTGATTATTTACCAACACGTTTTTTAAAATTATTCTATGTACAACGGCAATTCCTACTTTAATACCCGATATTAGAGAAGATAATTGGAAAAAACATTGTCCAATCGTCCTTGGCTACTATTTTATTTATGAGGTTTGTCGACCATTTTATGACCGTTTTATAGGAAGGCTTTTACTACAAGTCATTTAGCAATCTAAGTGTACTTGGAAAGGCTTTAAATATTGTTTTCTGAATAGTAAACGTGCTTGTGTTTATTGTCATAAAGTACAATTATCCATTTGAATGAGCAAACTATAATAAATTGATTTATATTTTGTGGAGCTCTGATAATTATTTATTCAGCATCTCAACAGAACACATTCAATATACAATACAATATAAATTTCAATATATATGGTAATGTAGATATAAACAGTATCAGAGAAACATAATATTATATTAAACATAATATTAGCTCTACGATACAATCCTATGTCAAATTTGTCTTACGTGTTCTGTTGTCCTTGGGGTAGGCAGTAACCCTCACTTCGTAGAAGATACAATATAATGACATTCCAACCGGTAAGCTTTCAGTAATATAAACTTATTACATTGAAAGTAATATAGAGTTACCGATTGTGTCCAGCTAGCTGATAGGTTTGGGTACATGTGTTACAGTTGAGATTTAGGTCACCGATATTCTCGTATCAGTGCAAGTCGAGAATTGCTCGATGCAGTATCTCAACCAGATATCTCAGATGCTAAGGTGTGGTTACATTAAGAGTATGTAACATGTACGTGCGTTAAAACTAAACCGTACCAGTCGTGATCTGAGCAAATTGTTGCACTTTAACTGTCTACATTGCTGAGGGACGAATGCACTTTAGAAGCAATAGCGCCCCGGATTCTCTCACGACGTAGACTCGCTTGACGCAACGAACCCACGGGGAAGCGCTTACAGGATTCCAAGTTTAATTGAAAACATTTCAGATGGCAATTTCTTTTTATTGTAGCTATAATACAATTCTACCTGTAACATTAAATTATAAATTTTTATTATCTAACGTATACTGAGGCGTCAAATAAATCAGAGGGATTCATATTTCAGCATTCTATTAACACCGAAATACACATTCGGATTAAAAGCTCAATCATTAGCTTAATTGTATGGAAATTAGTGATCTGATCAGACACGCCGCAGTGAATTTAACGCAATTCTATCAGAATGTAATTATAGATGTCGATGAGCGTAAAATACTGAATAATTGGTATTTGCAACCCGATACGAATATTTGAAAAACAATTTGTTTATTGAATTAAAGTAGGCAATTATGTTTATTTGATACAATATTACGTTGCTATGCTTTCGGAAATCCATCCATACGTCCATACGTTTAATTTTGAACGATTATGTATATTATTACAATAAGAACTGAAGTTGTGCTAGCCTAATGGTTTGACCTACTACCTTTCAAACAGAGGCCGTGTTCGAATTTGAGCTCACACCTCTGAGTTTTACCATGCGTTATACACATGGTTATACACACCTCTGAGTTTAACCATGTGAAGTCCCGAACCCACATTTAATCTGCGTGGCGGACTATGGCGTAAACCCTCGACTGGGAGGAAATCCGTGCCCAGCAGTGGGATGTATAAAAGGATTGATGATGATAATTAATACCTGATAGCAATGGATTTTATTACACTGTGAGCTAAGTGTTCTCGGGCATATGTGAAGTTTGTAATGATTGTCTACAGACAGCATTTAGGCTAATTAAGGTAAGGATATATTAGCCCCAACATCGCACACTGAGGCTATAATAGGTCAATAATATTAATTTAATTTAGGTGCTGATTAAACTTTGTCATGTCTGTCACTTAGCATTTTATATCCAATTTTTTGTTTGAGCTTAAAGCTGAGGAATAGTTTAGAAATGTGGATTGACAATATCTTTTTTAAAACGGTTTGTTTCAAGAAATAAAAATCCACTTTTGAGTTTGTTAAACACAACTACAATAGGTTTCTGTACCGTAGCGAATTTTGGCTTTATGACGTTTTGTTTCAATTTCATGACGTTTGAAATAAATTGACTCTTATCAAAAATATGTGACATTTACAAGGTTGTCTTTTTTAAACCGCAGCCTTTTCATGTCGTCATTTCAATTATGAAAATATGTAAGTTTTGTTACGGAAATTCAAAGAAAGATACTACGACCTCTTATGTCACCACAACAGCCTGATGCAGGTTTGTATACGAATTAGAAAAACTTTGGTAGGGATTTTTAAAAAAACGTAAAACAAAAGTCGTTTTGCTTTAGTGGTAGGAATAACATTAGAATGTTTCAAGTTTCAAAATAACCCTTTATCAGTTATTATAAACATTTTTTTATTATTTAACAAAATATTTTTTAGATTGTTGAAATGGTTAAAATTTTCTTTAAAAGTATTAGCTGATGGTATTTCCTAATAAGCTTAAAGGCGTTCTCAAAACGATTTTGACATAAAATATAAAATATAAAAAAATCAATTCACATTAAAATTAAGATTTTTAAGCCAGCGGTACACCTTTCGATGGGATAGGTTATATAGGTAGGTAAACATTTTCTGCTTTTGGATTATCATACAATTAATGTTTCTTCTAATACGTGTACATGCGAGCGACTAAAAGTCTATCAGAGAAGGCGAAACTATAAGGTTTCCTAGTTTGACTACGAACCCTAAAATATTAACAAGATACCTTAAATGAACTTGTTTCTAGACTTTAAACTGACACCAATTGTTTCACATTAATTAGTGAAAAGGCAAAACGCATTTACCCTAACAACAAACCAGTTATTTATATAAACAAATTAAGGGTAGAGTAAAGAGAGCTCGCGTTCCCTTGTACAGGGTGTTATTAATTTTCATTTGACACAGTCGGGCAAGCTCGTGTGCTCGCTACCGAGCGTGACAAAGGCAGACCCGTACTAAGAACACTCTTTGTTTGCTTCATTATCGTCAAACGGGAACAGCGATTCGGAAAATCGTGCTGCGCTCGAAAATAGTGACTTCGCCCTCCTTCAAAGTGAATTGAAAACAAGATGTAGCAGAAAATTGGATTATGCATCAGCGTCTCATTCTAAAAAGTTTGAGTGAATTATTTAACCTACCATAAACCTTAAATACATACATACATACATAACCTATAAATACATACATAAATATAATAGATTTAACGAATTCCGTGTAAAATATTCTTATTAAAAGTTTT